ATTAAAAAAACATCTATACAAGAACTCCTTTCTAAATAGATTAATACGCGATAAAGATAAATTATTTTACTACGGACCTCTAAAAAAGTAAGCTTACCTCGTAATTATTCTTGTTCAATGTAGTCAGTAGCCGTATTCGCAGTTGCACTCATTGTAGCTTCTGCTGGATCGGTCTCAAACAAAATTTGACAATAAAAATACTGAAAAAAAATAACCTTACAAACTCAACATTTTAAACTAAGGGTTACCTCGTATGTCATCTTCAATGACTTCAGTAGCTTCATCCTCAGTTAAACTCATTGTAATTCCTGCTAGATCTGTCCGAAACGAAAGTATAAAATTTAAGTTAATTTATAGGTTACAATTTATAGACAAAAATTTAAATATCTGACTAATAACATGTATTCTTACCTCTTAAGCTTATTGCTGTACCGCCAACACTTTCCCGCACGTTTGCGTAGAATAATAACTTATATTAACACACTTATTGCGTAAAAACACCGGTATTGTAACCGCACAAACAAAAATGTTTACACGAAAGTATCCAAGACCAGAGTGGCCCAAGTCACATGAGCCGTAATGGCGGAAAATTCTATAGTGACCCAAGTATTCTGGGCCACTATGCTCTATTACTATTGCACTAAGTATCAAAACGCCAAAACAAATTTGTTAAACGCCATCTACGATTTTATACTGAAATGACATTTGAGCCACTCTGGCTACGAATTTAGGGGTTTAAAAAGACGCATTGCCGTGGTCAACTAAAATATCGAAAATTGTGGTTTGGGCCGCTCTGGTTCTGGTGGCCTCACATATATAGATAACATTCTTAATAGATAGATAACTCTTTATTGTTGACATTACACTATTTACAGAAACAAACATAAATTAAACTTAATTAAAAATGCAAACAATTGGCGGCCTTATCGCATAAAGCGATTTCTTCCAGGCAACCTTTGGACGGAGAAAGAGATAGTCATTATAACGGAGACGGGGGTGTACATGTGAACAACAATATACAATTAAATGCTCTTAATATGTTCTTATAATTTATGTTTATGCTCACAAGAAATGTTATTATATTATCTCTAGAGACATGCAAAAACAGTCTTATGAAAAGCAATTTGGGACTTAATGCCTGATACAAAAATCACATACTTAATTTTTAGCAGAATTACTTCCTGAACATTGACCGTGTACCCATTCGCCACAGGAGAGGACAACAAATCATACATATTGTATATTGGATTCCTCATCAACACAGTCAATACTATTGTCATCGCAGATATTCTGGAAAGTTTCGTCGTCTTCGTCATCAGATGAGCTGGTACAGTCTTTAAAAAGCTCTGTTAGTAGTATATATTTTTTTCTCTATATTTGTTTAAATATCTTTATTTTCTTTCATGAGACGTTTAACTTTCTTTTCTTCTCATACAGTTTTATTTGGAGTAGCAGTGGTTATTTGCGAATGCTGTTTATGTGTTCGTTTTCGGATTTCTCGAGAAGTTGATGGTTCAGGAGATAAATTTAGGTGTGCATTGATTCGGAAAAAGCAGATGGAACATCTTTTTGGACACATTTATCGTCGCTTCCGATATTTTCGAAAAAGAAGACGGTATCGCAGTGTTCTGATAAGGATGATTTCTCATGAGTATCTACAGTATTAGTTACTACGTTGGTGGAAGCAGTATTTTCGACGTAACAGTCCCCACCGCTGAATGTAGTCGTATTAATTGGGCTTCCGTCAGTAGCGCGAAGACCACCGTTTCAATATAACTGTTATCAAGTAAACTTGGGCTAGCACGGATATCTGGCTGCTTGGAATTTCAACTGGTTTGTTATTTGTTACATTAATATTGTAAAATTAATTTTCTGGTATAGCGTTGTAATTAAGTGGATATATTCCACTGCCTCTAAATTCAGATATAGCGTTTATTAACATTTTTACGATGAGATTTTAAATTTATTTTTTCTTTTAATACACAAAATTAATAACGAATATTGCCTCCGCAGGCTCTTATCAGAGCTTGTATACGATTTCCCATGCTCCGAATAAGGCTGTCGATAATTTCTTGGGGTAAATTGTCCCACTCTTCCACCAAAGCCAGTTTCAGCTCTTCAACATTCCTGGGAGCTGCATTACGCTGTCGAACTCTTTTTCCCAGAATGTCCCAAGCGTGTTCTATTGGGTTCATATCCGGTGATCGCGCTGGCCATTTGATTGATACCAACCTCACAGAGATATTATTGCTATTCACTATCCTCGCAGTGTGAGGACGTGCATTATCATGCATAAAAATGAAATTTTGGCCTATAAATGGGGCAAAAGGCATGACATGTGGTTTTAAGACCTCTGTTACGCATCGGTGCGCAGTGAGAGATCCATTTTCAATGAGCACTCTTAACTCTGTGCGGACTCCTAAATATATGCCACCCCATACCATTACTGACCCTCCACCATATGACACCTTTTCCGTGAAATTAGTCTGGTTGTATCGTTCACCTCGCTACCTACACATCCTTTCCCTCCCATCCACAAAACTAACACAAAAGCGGCTCTCATCGGTGAATAAAACGCGACCCCACTCATTTGTCCAACCTCGATGCTCACGGGCGAAGGCTAATCTTGCTACACGATGAGCTGCCTCGAGTTTCGGTGCTTTTGCTGGAACGTAAGACCTTAATCCAACTCCATTAAGACGTCTTCTAACCGTCCGTTCACTAACATTTACGTTACGGACCTCAGCCAGTTGATTCCGGGTCTGAACAGCGGTTTGCCGAGGATTTTTCAAAATTTGCATGATTATAAATCTGTCGTCAACGGCACTTGTAGCCCGCTTTCTGCCATATCCTCGACGGCGCATGTAAGATCCCGTCTCCCTATAGCGGCGAATAATGCGGTGAATCACTGAAGTCGATACACCTAAAGCTCGGCTTACGAGCGGTAAGTATGCCCTTCTTCGATCATGGTTACAGCCCTAGAAGTAGAAGTTGCTGGCAAATCACTCATTTTGTATCAGGAATGTGTACACAGTTCAAAAATAAACAGTGGAATGACCCACAGTCACTTTAAACTGAACCCAAGAAAGATCTTATCAGAAGCAATTCTAACATTAAGTGTCAGCAAATTCTTAAAGGGTCATAAAATTTGTCAACACACTTTTAAATGACAAATTTGCACTTAAGATAACTTCTTAGGAGGGTCACATAAATAACACACATAAATAATAACAACTTGTCAAGATACCCGAAAGTTTGGAAAAAAATCGACCTTTTATTTTATGTTCCCCTAATTGTGCCGGTGTGTGTAAATTTTTTACCTTTATGACACCAATTAACTGCTTATTAGCTCCATTATAACTGTTCAAATTTATTTTACCGCAACCCTTCACCGCAAAAGTATTATTATCAGCTACATTGAGGATAGACACCGGAGCAGGGCCATAGTCATAAATCCAATCTCTGTTGTTTGTCATGTGCATTGTAGATACAGAGTCCAGGCACCAGCACCCTTGGTTCGAGTTTTGTGATGCTATAAACGCGGCAACAAAACTAAAAGTTTTATTTTTATCATTATTATTCGTTTTTGGTTTTGAGTACTGACTAGAGCGGCAATTTTTAGAGAAATGCCCATATTTATTACGTTTAAAACAACGTGGACCTTTCCCTGTAGGTTTATTGTATTTAAAATTGTTTTTATGAGAGTTTGAGAAGAAAGCGGCAGACTCTCTTACATTTTTCATATCCCACAAAAATTTTATTTTAATAAGATTAGTCATACCCGAGTTTTCCATGGCCATAATCATAGGCCTGTAAGATTCCGGTAGTACTGCGAGGAGTAGTGTACCCAGCCACTCATCATCGACCATGAACCCTATATTGCGAAGCTTGTGCGCACAAGTTATTACTTTATTTACGTAGGTTTCAACATTTCCACATTCTTCTAGATTTGTGGTAATTAATTCTCTTAACAGACCTACCGTCCTTGTCACAGGCCTCCTGGAAATTTAACAATATCTCCTTTGCAGTTTTTGCTTCCAATATGTGAATGTTATTGACGGAATCCACCAGTAATACAATTTTTGATCTAGCTTTTGTGTCCTCATATTTAGTAAACTCTTCGCCATTATTATTCACGCATTTCCATAACTCCTTGTGTTCCATGTACGATCGAACGACAAAGCTCCACGTGGCATAGTTTTCACGGACTTGCAATTTCTCAATGTGAGCCATTTGAAAAACAAATCCTAACCGAGAGAGGCCGATAAGATCGGCCGGTAACCTCAATTGCACACGAATACAAATCTAACTTTTTACTTTTCCCTACGCTAAACTACTGAGCGTCTGAGCCCATAGCCTGATGAAAACTGAGTTAAAATTAAAGCAATATGAGATTAATAGGCTAGGTAAATAATAAACGTAACGTGAAATATATTGCTTTATTGCGTGAACGTACATACATGTATCATCAGCTTGAGGTTCGCAACAGGAAAAGGACAAGGAAGCTAGCTACTTCCTTTACCCAGATTATGGATGCGTTCAGAAATAGGTAATGAATAAATGAAGCTGCATTCACATTTCTTCAAATATAATAAACATTAAAATATATTTGCTATATTTGACGCCCTTAGAGCCATATATCCCAAAATTTATGAGGGCACATATCCATACTCGCAGGGATAGATGACTTCTAAAAAAGAAGAGAAATACTATTATTTCTCATTAAAATGCAACTGATAACAAAATTAGAAGTTAAAATAATAAAAAAAACCTTACTTGTTAAAAGTTATAGAGGAACGAAAATTGCTCACGATGCTGCTTATCTTGTCGCTGCTTTTATCGCTGGCTACGCACAACCGCACGCGGCAACATTTTGTTGCAGACTTAAGTGTGGGGGAAGTGCGTTCATATTATAAGACATTCTCATACTCTCGCATCTTAGTATTCACGCAGTCGATTCGAGGCATCTATCCCGCTTGAGCATATATCTCGGTTTTACCCTAGTGCAGAGAAATTTTATCATCATTAGCTCTTTTGATAGCACGATCTAGTGTATCCGGACTCGACTGACACTTTCTCTCTTTAATTCTATCCCGTTTTCGAGGTATCTGAAAAAAGACAACAATGAAATAGGGTAATGAGAGCCATTCGACACCAATTACTGCAAATGCTCATTTTAAAGATTTATTATAATTGACAAAATACATTTAGTTGTATCTTTCTATCAATTTTTACAATGATATATTTACAATTAAGAACAGGAGATACTCATAATTAAACAGTTTTCATACTCACAATTTCGTGAAAGTCATAAAAAATGAGATCGTTTAACCGGAAAACCGACGTGAGGTTCGTTTGCACACAAAATCTCACTAACTTACAATGTAACGAGTCACACGTACCCCTCCCGCGACATTCTGTGATGTATAATAACAAAACAGGATCTAACTTTTTCAGAAACACGTAAACTAAAGTAGTTCTCATTACCCCAAGGCTCCGATTACCCGTGTTCCCCTCCATGTTTTTCATATTCTTCGACAGCTTCTGGTGACGAAAACCGTTAATCGCGTTGTTGTTTCTTGATATTGGGAATAGAAAAAGTCATACGGTGACAGGTTGAGACTGGACAAATTAGCCATAATTCCGATAGTGTATGTAAATATACCCATACTCTAGGCATATTTACAGTATGTGATAAAATAACAAAATATAGAAAACTTCTAGATTATTATGTAATTATCTTAAACAAAAATCAAATCAACATAGAGAAAAACAAAATACAGAAAACTTCTATTTTATTTAACTATCTTAACCCTCGGCCACCTGACGTGTATTCCTGATACAGTACCACCTGACGTCGGTCCTAGAGACTGCTTGCTAATCTTCCACAATAAAGTTCAAATTATGCGGTGAATTAAAATGACGTCTTAATATTCATAAAGAGTCTTTAATCATGTAACATCTTTTAGTTTAAGTTCTGCAAGTTTACAAAAAGTATTAAAATCAGCAATTATCACAAGTTTACAAATTATAGGAATAAAAAAAATTGGAACTAAAGAAAAATGCGATCTGTCAGGACAAATCCTTAAAACAGATATTCTTACTTATTTATACCGGCTGCATTTAAAATGACTCTCCAAATTTTTTCTAGGCATTAGGTATTGTTAATAGATCACATATATGAAAAAAAAACGGTATGTAAAATTTTCAAAATGAAATTTAAACTTATTGCAATTACAGGATAATTATAACATTCGCATTGTCACATTAGTTATGAATAAAACAAGGCAGCAGGGGTAGCAAGGGCGCGGGCGCAGGGGATGTACGCACATGCGCCAACAACAATGTCTGCTCGGTTTTTTATTTTGTCGGCGCACATCAGTCAGTCGCCCGCGCACAACCCCTTTGAACGCATGCGCTTCCGCCTTTGCTTCCGTGTTGCGCACCGCCCGTCGCAGCGCCACATTTCGCGCGTCGTAATGTATTCCAATCGCGAATATTATGAAATGGTGCAGTGTTACATACATGGCGATCAACGTGATGCGGAGGCCCCATCGTGGGGTCTGCGCGATCGCCGGACCTACCACAGTGTGACTTTTATTTGTGGGGCGAAATTAAAAGACGTGTGTATGTTGAGGAAGCACAAAGCCTCGAGGACTTAAAAATGCAAATCAGAGCGGCATTTTACCAAGTGAAAAATGATACGGTAGTGCTCGCAAAATTAAAAGACAATGTGCAGAAAAGGTGCAAGTCTGTGGGTGCAAGACTCTGTTTGGAGAGGAACGGTATGTACTTTGAACAATTATTAAAGTATACGTAGGTAAATAGTTAAAGTAGGTAGGTAAATTGATTAGTTGATTATGTACATAAAGTTGATGATTTTTTAAATACGCCTGTTTGCAAAAGAATAGCGAGTTAAGTACCTACTTTGAATTGGTTTAACTAAACAGAATTTTAGGTAACTCGATATTTACTTACCTACTTACTTTATAAATTTAAAGCAGTATAGCTATTGTAATAGTAGGTATCTAATAGGATTTTTGTTCTAAACGACATAAAAAGAAAAAACACGTATTTCATTATTTGTCGTAAAGATTAACATACTCAAATTTGGAGAGTGGTTTTAATTGCTTGCTGTATAAAGTTAAATAATATTATACCTATAACATAGAATCATTTTTAGCACAGTCAAATCTAATTTTTTTCAAATTACAAGGCACGAACATTTATAAATTTTGGCGACAACTCACGCACATTTTTTGACTGCATTCAATGCAAATTGGTTCTTACACGTAAAACACATATAGGCGGTTTTGCGTTTTTTTTCGGGATCGCACGTCGAACATGTTTTTCAAGTTTTTCAGATGTCTCTGTAGAAGATTTAGAATTCCACGTATGGAAATCTGAAGTTCTCTTTGTAAACCAAAACAATTTAGACGTCGTTCCAAATGAGGCTTTATTAGGTCATCCGCTAATTTCTTTATGAAAATCATCCGTGGTACTTTTGACTGTGCTTGGTTCATATTACTGACTGTGTATGCGTTTACTGAAGATATGTCCAAAATTCTATAAAAAATTGCCATTGGCCATCGTTGAGTTCGTCTAGACGTGGAGTATATTGCACATTTTTGATCTAACATGTCCACGCCGCCCTTGGTGCTGTTGTAAAATACGATCATTTCTAGCTTTTCCGTATCCGAATCAATAGTTGGCGTATGATGCATGCTGGACAAAACAAGCACAGATTTGTTAGCTTTTGGTACAAAAGACGCCAGTATAGCATCGGATGTAAACCCAAAAATTGTCGATCCAACTTATCTACCAAGACTAGGTAAAAATTGTGAAGATACGCTTGTTTTTTTTTTTAATAGTACCTACTAAAGTCAGTTGTTTTTGTTTTAAAATGTTTAAAAGCTCCAATGACGTGAACCAATTATCAGTCGTCACGTTTCTGTGGGTACCTTCTATTGATTTTATTACTCTCAAAACTGCTTGGGTAGGTTTGTTTGCCTTAGGTACTCAGCTGGTAGACCTATGCCATCAGAATTTTTACCTAGATACAGTCAAGCGTCCACTAGATAACCTTATAACATGATTTTTAAACCATATTTGTGTGGTTTTTTTGGTATGTACATTTTAAATTTGCACTTGCCGCGAAACGTCACTAGCATTTCATCAATGCAGGCATAGCTGCCGATAGAACAGACATCTTTGCAGTTCTGAACCAACATTCCAAAAAGCTAAGATATAGGCGCAGCAAAATCAGTATTACGACGTTCAATTCGTGTACTTGCGTCATCAAAATGAAAACAATTGAGTAGTACCTCAAACCTAATGCAACGATATGTTTCTCTGCCTGTGCCGTCTTGGGCATACCATGATGTATAGTGCGTGTGGTTTTCTTTAAAAATAGCAGTGTAGTACAGCATACCAATGAAGGCTTTTAATTCAATAATATCTAGATCGTGAACAGCTGTTTCTTTTTGGTAATTGGGTCGAATTTTTCTAATTTTTTCATTTGTATGCTTTACTATATTGTCCAACATACTTTCCGTGAAAAATAAGCGCCACAAATCAATTAGTTTTGTATTTTCATGGAGAACAACCTGAAAATCACGCTTGAGACCAAGTGATTGCGTTATTATTTTGTGCTGCATAATTCTTGACCTAGAAACTGGAGGACGGGAAGACCAACGAAATCTGTTCGTACCGAAATAGTTTTGATACCTCGACAGTGGCACATCTTCGTCCGAAGATGAATCCTCCATCGGCGCACTGATGTTGTTTTCCTCTTTGTTAGGTTGCATCTCAGCCCCATCACCTTCCACCTTTGAGTCAGACTGGCATTCTTCATCGGTGATGACGTGATCTAATGGAACATCTTCAATGTCACTGCAATCTTCATTCGGAAGTTCAGGTACAGAAAAAGCCTCTTCGGAATCTGTCTCAACTTTCTCAAACCACCGCACTATATTTCTCTCCATTTCAAACATCGTAATCCTACAACAATAACCACAAAAGATTTTCACAAAAGTTACATAACCACCTGACATCGGTCACACAGACCGCAAGCACAAAAATATTACCTGTAATTATTGAATGCCAACGCGTCCGGAGCTACCAAACGCGCCGCACGAACTGGCGGGCAAGCGGGGAAAGTACGTTGACCAACGGCTGTTTCGCGCGCGCCATAACCGAAAAAAATTGATAATAAAACCGCGAGAGTCTCTCAGACCGACGTCAGGTGGCTAAGGATTAAAAATACCGGGACAGCAAGACTCAGAAGTAGAAGCCTAGGAACAAACCAAATTTGCCCTTATTCGTTTTTATCACTTGTTCATTTCTTTTGTAAATGCTTTCTACCTGCAATAGTTATATGAATTTGGACTGTTCTCAAAGATTTTCAATTAGTTCTAAAGCTGGAAGCCTACTCTAATTCACCGAAAAACGAAATATCGTTCGAAATTTCGGACGTTTCCTACCACAATTACGTTCGTTCCGAAAATTCAACGAACGAAAATGTTTGACATATTTATTTTCTAAACCTACTCTATTTCACGAAATGACAAAACGAACATTTGAGTTTGACATCTAATTATTCGGAATTCTAACCTCAAATTGACGAAGTAAAAAGTGTTACCTTTTTGATTTTCGTTAGCAATTTGTTATTTTTGAAATGGGGTCTAGATTACTTTTAATCGAGTCCGCTCTCAGTGAAGAACGTTTAGAGCGTAGAATAAAACGGCGGCAACTTCGAAATAGCCTTAATATCAGAAATATTCCCGACATCTCATGGCATCGAGCCTACAATTAAGGTTGGTAAATATTTTATCGTAGTTCTTGATAATAAAAATTACATGACTACTATGCATTTTATATTTTTCAGATTCTTACAGCGCTGAATTTTTATGCTCGAGGTAGTTATCAAGGATCAGTAGCTCAAAACATGGATGGGCCTATGGCCCAACAAACAGTTTCGCGGTGTTTGAAGGAGGTTACGACTGCCCTCAATTCACCAGATATTATAAGAAAATATGTTAAATTCCCTCAAAACCGAAATGAAAGGAATCTTATTAAGCGACAGTAAGTACGATATATAGGTAAAAGTTTATTTATTTTAGCTTTATGTATGAATTTCTAATAATTACCTATAGAATTATGTCATTAATATTACAGATTCTAAGAGGCATATTGGCTACCTGGTGTGATCGGGTGCATTGATTGTACTCATATTGCAATAGTTAGGCCTTCACACCATGAGGAGCAATATTTTAATCGGAAATATTTCCATTCAATTAACACTCAAATTGTAAGTTTATGAAAATAATTAATAGTAAAGTTATAACTAGTAGCTTTCCACTCGCGGCTTAGCCAGCGTGGAATTCAGTTATTGTCGCACTTCGTTTTTTTATCCCAAGCTCCAACCCCATTTTTCGCAAAAAAACTATCCTATGTCCTTTTCCAAAGTCGAATCTACCATCAAAAATTGGTTTAGGGTGCGGAATGAGCTACTTTCGAATTTGTAATATTAGTATGGGTTTAATATAATTGTTTAATATGCAAAAATGCGCACAAATAGTTAAATACTAAGGTAGTTTATTTATTCTAAACAAAGACTCGTATTTTTACAGATCACTAGAATAACTGACGTAAAATATACGCCAAACAAAATATTAAAAACATAATTTCAAATAAACTCTAGCACACTCGTGATAGAGCATGACGTTCACGATCGGCTTTTAGAACATCTTCACGTCGAGTAAATGTCCCGGACTATAATTATGAGAATTTTAGCCAGTTTAACTATTAATGCCTGCACTCTATACTTACTAATATTATAAAGAGGAAAGATTTGATCGTTTGTTCCTAAACTACCGACAGATTTAAAAAATGCTTTCACCTACGGGAAGCTTCCCGTAGGTGAAAGCATTTTTTAATGACATAATTCTATAGGTTTTTATAGCTACATCATACGAGGATGACATAGGCTATGATTTACGTAGGCGAAGTCACAAGAAAACAGCTAGCGTTAATAATATGTTTTCATGGTTTATTAGATTAAGTAACAATAAAAACAGTAGAATAAGAAAACATATTTTACATAGGGAGTTACATACAAAATCAATTGTCTTCCGTCATCAGAAACGCTCATCATTCTAAATAACTTTTCCTAAAGTTTAGTTTGGCGGTTAGAGTTCCATAGTTTTTACGATACGTCAGTGAAAAATGTTCTCACATTTATAACTTTTCCTAAGACGTTTTATTCATATCTTCTATGGTTAAACTGGGCTACTAGGGTTTTACATCAATATTCAAACTTTCAAAAAGCCTCTATGTTACCGAATACTAATATCTATTGAACCTAAAAACGTTTAATCATAATCCGTCCGTAGTTCGTGGTTTTTGTGTGAAAGGTGAACAAGAAATAGACATACACAAAAAATTCAAAATTCATATTTTTCCTTCTGTTACTTGTATTAAGATACCTTGAAGATAAAAAAAATAAAGTCAATGTACAGACTTTACACTCCAGCACTTTGAATATATGTATAGTATAGCTTTTTAATTTACATTGAATGTTCTGTACATTAAATCTAAATTAAAAATCTTAAAACCTTTTAAACTTTTGTATAGATTAATTGTGGTCACTTTTCAATGACTGCTCTATTTTAAATATTGATGCTGCATATGGTGGAGCCACACATGATGCTTTCATTTGGAGAGAATGTGATATAAGAAACCATTTGGAGAATCTTCAGAATGAATCAACATATCTATTAGGTACGTTTGGATATATAGTACCCAAAATATTGTTATTTCATAAGAATATGACATTCATGAATAATGTAATTATGATATTCTAATAATTTTAGGAGATTCTGGCTATGCTTTAAGAGAGCATATGATGACACCAATAGAAAACGCCGTAGAGAACTCTCCCGAAGGCAGATACAATTTAATCCAAAAGCGCGCACGCTCAACCATAGAACGCACATTTGGAATTTTGAAGGGTCGCTGGCGATGTCTATTGGCAGCTCGGGAACTTCATTACTGTCCAGATACAGCAGGTAAAATTATAATAGCCTGTTGTATATTACACAATATTTTATAAGGGCTGGTATTGATGTTCCTGAATTGTCAGAAGACGAACTGCGAATAGAAAGAAGCAGACAGTCTCAGCCTTCATCTGTTACAACCTCTTCTTCAACTCAAGCTCTTCAAGATGGCCAAAGAGCAAGAGCTGCATTAGTGCAAATACTGGAGAGAAATAGATAAAATATATATAATAATAAATATATATTTTAATAAGATAAGGTATTTTATTTAATTTATCTTCCATTAAGAAATAAAAGAGAATAAAGGACAGTTGCACAAACGTCCGTTAAGGTTTAATAACGCCTTTAAGCTCTAATGAATGTCAAATTTGTTTGGCTAATGTCGCTTTAAACTAATAACAATTTTAATGGACGTTTGTGCAACTTACCGTAAGAGTATTGTTAAGGCTATAATTTTTAATAAAAATAATAAAAAAGTAAACACAATCTTATTTACGGTTTAAAAACTCTCTAAAGAGACCACACAGTTCGAACAGGGCAGTCCTAATTTGTGTCAGCTCTGCATTCCTAGTCGTCTCTCTTAGTGCCCGTTCCTCCTCAATCACAAACAGCCTGTTGCGGACATTGTGTGTTGCAGCAACCCTCCGTCTGCAGCGCATTGGACGTGCTGGCCGTGACTCTGTAAAATAATGTTACAAGCAACTTTCAATATCGATGCCTTACTTTCTCAAACTCGTATCTTAAAACAGACTAGTGTTCAGGAAACAATAAAAAACGTTTATTTTGTAAAATATCAGTAAGTTAGAAATATACCTGTGCTATGTGTGTGGATAGCATAAAGCAATTAAAATTATTTACTCTAAGGTTTTGGCACGATTTTTGAGATACGAGTTTGCTGCACTCACAGTTACCTTTATATTGGTAACTCGACATAAAAGATAAAAGTTTGTTGCATTTATCTGAATTTAAAGTAATAAGTAAAAGTAATTTAAATGATTGAATAAAACAATAATAAGAACATATTATCAAATTTTTATTTATAAAAAAATTATAGGTAGTACGACACTAAACTAATCGTGTGGCAAATTGTCGTAAAAATCATGATAATCAGCTGGGATCATCAGTTTCAGGTCTTGTAGATCGTCATATTTTCTTTTAGTAATAGTTAATCGCTCATTGTAGAGGCTTGGTATTGTTGTCATATCATCATTAGTCTGCAACTGTTGCCGCAATTTACGTTGAGGCAATTTTTGCCACTCTTCGTCAAAACTTAATTTGTACTGTACTTCATTTTCAACTGTGTATTTCAGAGCTCGTATATTCACGACGCATGGGTCGCCTTTTTTAGTGCCTGGCCTTATTGATTTTAAATAATTTATTGATGAAAAATCTTTAAAGAAGCTGTAATTTAAATAATTAACTTGGTACGGTTGTGACAGTCTGGATTGCTTAATTACTGTATTAAAATCAGCTGGCACATACAGCTCTTTTCCTTTCTTTTTGCGTTCGATGGAGGCATGGACGGAATCGCATTCCATTTGTGTGTGTCCTACAACTAGGTACTTTTGTTGTATCTCAGCATGATGGACCTTTGCATAATACAACAATGCATTTGACAGAGTAGTGTTTCTGTTTTGGGCACAGCACCCGTCGCTATAAATGACTATTGGCCGTGATTTGTCCTCTAGTTTTTGCAAATAGTCTATCAAACAAGAAGTAAAGATGTTAGAGTCCATGCCTCCTTCAGCTTCATGCCAGACATAGCATGAAACATTTTTGTCACTTTCATTGTAGATGGTAAATTGGTGTACACACAGTTTGGTTTTAAAATAATTGGAACCCGCTGAAAGCAGAGGGATGGTTTGCACTGCTTGCAAGTCTACAGTGAACATCTGAATATCACCGTTTTTACATCGTTCTTTATCGCTTGCTTTTTCTTTTCGTGCTTGCTCTTTACTTTTTATATGTAGCTGATATTCATCTTCTGGGACGTTTTTGTTTTTGTAAGCAAAACAAACGTCGCATTGATCTTTTTTTGGTCTGTAGATACTTATATTAGTCTTGTGAACTGCATCTAAAAAGCATTTGTACGTCGCCTTTTCGCTATTATCGATATCATGTTCTGTTAAATATTTTTTGAAATCTGTGTATACTTCTGCCCATGTCCTATATTGAACGTCAATATATTGTTTGTTGGTGCTCTGTCGGCAATAATGTGACGGCATTTTTGGTAGGTTGTCGAGAAAAGACTTTACATGATTAACTTTAGCAATATTTTTTTTGTTTTGACGTTTAACTGGGTTATTTTTTTTCACCATCCCTATGTCGCTTGTATGTGGATTTTTAGTTACCCAGTTGGACACGCTCCATTCGCCTAGAGATAATGTATTCAAAAACATTTTTTTACAAACAACTTTGGTATCCCCAGAAATTTTCAAATTATAAGTTAAAGTGTTTGTCCGTCGAGAAATAGTACCAGTTGTTTGTAAAGCAACTGGCTTATGCGATACCATAGCAACAACATACGCTTTTTTTTCGTCCCATGAAAGTGACCAAAATGTTTTAAAAATTTCCTTTCTGTCTTCTTCTGATACTTGGTTGCATTGCTTACCAAATTTTTTCGAGCATGTTTCTGAACAGCAACGAGATTTTAAAGTTCTTTCCTTTCGTCTTTCCATGACACCAGTCACTTCTTTGCTTCTTTTGATCGATGAATATTCTTTACCTTGCATTCTCTTACGTTTTCTTTGATTCCTAGTCCAGTTCAAAGCATTTCCCTGACCTTTTCGTGATTTCTTCTTTGTGATTATTCCAGATGATTCGTCCAATAATAAATATGAAGGTCCACTGTCAGATAAACTTGATTCAGAAGAAAGATCCTCAGATTCACTTGGTGAATAGTCGGATCCTGAGGTAAAGTTTAAGTCATCAAAGCTTGCTGAAACAAATTGACCCGTTCTTTCATCCAAAACGGCGTTTACTGGTATTGTAGTATTGGTTTCTTGATACTGGTCCGTAAAAACAAAACGCCCGGATTTAGGATCCAGGACTACTCGTTTCTCTTCAAGAATTTTTATGGCAGAAGGTTTTTCAGAACTTGTAGTAATGGTCAGATCATTACAAGGCTCAATAGTGAATGGATCACTACTGTTTACTGTCATCTCATCACGATTGACTCCTTCAATACAGTTGTCCATAGGTGTGTCATTCGTGAGGGCTAAATTCAGTAATGTTCTACTACGGGAGCTCGCCATTATTTTCTGCAATGAAAAGAAATGGCTAGAGCATTGGCTAGATATTTCTTTAACTAATTTAGCTGGCCAGCAGGCTTATCACCTAATATACAAAATTAAAAAGGAGTCATGCAAGTAAAGTTGTCGGTCACGGATGCTAATACAACCTTTACTACCAGTTATTCAGTATCCACCAATCCGGACTAGGCCATCGTGGCAATGGGAAGAGACCCTGCCTAGTAGTGAGAGTTCAACATGGTTTGTAGTGTTACCTACTTCAGCAGTGTAGCTCTACAAGCGACTAAAAAACCCACTGTAATAAACGGACAGACAGACAGACGGATGAATTTCCTGGGCTTATTTATATTCCTATTAAAACTGTGATAAGAAGCCTTAAAAGTTATATCGACGGCACATGAAAACATTCAAACATTACTTACCGGCAAAAATCACACTGCTACTCACAATTTCTTACTATAAATAATTATTCTAAGCTCACTACTAGATAATTATGTATGTATTTAAAATAGTGATATGATAAATTAATTCAACAGAAACATATTTTTTCATTACACAAATTTTTAAGTAACTGTAGCACACGATTATAACAACAGCAATGCAAGAAGCGAAATGACCTTCGTAGTTTAGCTATTCCCAAAATGGTTGAAATTATTTCTAGAAAGTTCTTCATAAAACAAAGCCACCCTTCTGTCAATATTGGACCTTAAGAACTGCGTTATCAATAGTATTGTTTCAAAAATCTAATCCTATCTCAAACTTTTCCCGCAATGCTATAAGTGCGGCAACATCGCATCTCAAGAAAGCGGTAAACAAAACTGGAGCTTCCTGCATGACGATTAGCTTCACAACCACGTATTTCAAGATACGAGTTTGACGCAGTTACTGAAATGGGTGTGAGAGAGATACCTATATTTTTGGTATTGCTTATTACACGTTTAGTACAGCGTATTGAGATAAGAGTTTGCTGCAGTTATGAATCAAAACGATAGCTTTAGATAGACAACAAAAAGCCAAAATCATATTTTTTTAAGATACGAGTTTGAGAAAGTAAGGCATCGATATGCCATAAGTAGTTATTTAAAACATATTACTGAGTCAACAGAATAAAAGATAAGTCATAGAACTCCGATACCACTCGAGCCCCGTGCGGTTTGGTAGTTATTAACAACTGCAGACACAGCTGGAATCAATGACTTTGCCTGTCTTCCGAAACATAAAGGAGCAAGTACATTTTTTAGTCACCCATCTTATGCCCGGCCTTGCTAAAATTGCTTAGGCTTCGTATCGCAGATCTAACACTTTAATAAATGCACCACTGACTTAAAAAATATATAATTAGTAAATAAAACTTTAGCACAATATATATATTTATAACCACAATCGAATATGAATGTGATTATGCCTATAACAATACAACGCTAATAAACACTTACCATTACTGAAAATAAAAGAATGTTGCGATTCACTTTGTGGTGTTACCGGGGGAAAATTATTGTTGCTTTCGTTTTGATTGGAGGTGACTGGAATGGGAGTATTATTAGACTGCAATAAATATATATAAGTTTAAGTACCACAAGGAAGATCAGCATTGATAAAAACAATGAAGAAAAATTAATTTGAGAATTTTATAAAATCAATATCAGGTGAAATATTTACCTCGCTAAAAGCTGGTACTCTGGCTTCAGTTTGGCGTTCTCCAAATCCATCTCCCATTATTTCTAAAACCTTTAGTTCTCACTGAGTCAGTTGAGGTCCTGTTGATGGGCCACCTCCAGTTGACGTTGCTGATCTACGTAAATGTGCAGCATTTTTTTTGGCAAGATGTTTTCTATCAAACCATACCTAAAAAAATATTAGATTTCTTATCAATGAGTATATTTTATGATATGGCTATTAATCGATTAATCGAATAATTATCTATCTTTATATAAATTCTTTGAAATAAATCATATCCTATTAAATAATAAATTAAATAAATGAATTTGAGTTCTCGTGTATACATTTTAAATTTATCACATAACTTACTTTTTGCCACTGCTGCAGGGTTTATGTACATCCACCCATTGAATTTAAGGCTGCTACGATCTCCTCCCACAATCTCTTCGCGTGTATTTTACTATCGATTAAATCTTTAAATCACGACACGAGCTAAATCTTTATGTTCACATAAAAAATTCAGGAGAGCTTCGATTTGCTCGGGAGTTGCAGAATTTATATGTGGCGCCATTACAACCTGTAATCTTTGATTACAACTGAAAAATATGACTGATAAAAAAATATGAAAAACCTAATTATAAACATTTTAGTTTCATACTTACTTATAGAGTTTTTAATTGACTGGTTAAGATAAAATGTCGGAACTAACAATAATTAATTACTTAAATAAATTTGTAAATACAAATTTGATAATTAGTAAACACCGAACAGTTTGGTGAAACTTGTAAAACTTTTGGCGGGAAGAGAATTGTTTATATAATACGGACAATTAAGATTGCCGTACGTAGATTATAGCCATTGCATAAATGAAAGGTTGCTTTTAAATTTGTCGGGTTAATACTGTTAAGAAAAGAGTTCTTTATAGTGTCTTAATCAGTTGTAACGCAAAATAAAATTCTTTAATGTACTTAGTTTTTCGTTATATTTTTATAATATTTTAAATATGAACGATGTTTAGCCAATAAAATTTTATTTAAAAGAAATATATGTGTTGTTTAATATTATACATTTCAAGTTGCGGTAAAAACCGGAATTGACATTATAAGAAATCCAATAACGCCATTCACTCCAATCGTTCACGAAAATTGTCTTTGGAATCGAAGATTCGTCGGTATATTCGAAAATGATATAGAGTAGCGTTACATGCGAAATTTCGTTCGAAAACGAAATTTCGTTTTCGAGAAAGCGAGTAGGCCTCCTGGTCTATTGACAACTTTCTTTCTAGGGCAGAATTTGGGCTGAATATCTTTTCTGGAATTAGTAGAAATAAAATGATCAAAAATAATGGTTAAAACTAATTTTTATTTTTAATCGGAAATTTATATATTTGTTAAATAAAATAAAATAACATATGAAATAAAATAACATAGATGAGAATACTCTCGATAGTAGCGAAAAGGTAACAAGTGCTTAGGTCTTGAGTAACTCGGTGTTTAGAGTGGTCGCCCAGATTGTGAAAGGTTAGGATGTCAGGTACCAAGACTTTTTAGCATTTTTCATTAAGAATAATTATTTGATATGTTATAAAAGACCGTAGGAGGACAAGCCTGTCCGTCTGCAGAAAACGTAAACATCACTGTGATAATTTCTTTGGAGTTATATATTTGAATCGATTGTGTAGCCATTCTTAGATCCCTTAGCAGTTAAAACTTTTCCTGTTTTAGGACAAAGTTGGAACCCACTTTCGTCTCCGTTAAAGACTCAAAACTTCTAATAGATTATTTTCTTTCAGGTAACGCTGAATTTCTAAAAACCATTTTCTAATTTCTGAGTCTGAAACACATGCATTGGACTGAGTAACTTCCTCACTTGTTCACACAGCAATATTCGGCTGTCTTTTTAAAAAGCTTCTTACCCATCCAGAACCAGGGTAATCTATAAAATTATTTAGTCTTGGGTTACCACGGCGAAATTTATGAGCGCTACTTTGTAAATCTTCTTTTTTAGAGGAAATATCCATTGTTCAAGAATCTCATTATTTGTTAAAACAAGCGATGGTCCAAAAGTTGCTCTATATCCAGGATTTTTCATTTTGAAATGCAGTGTTGATTTTGGGATTCCATACTTTCGAACAATTTCCCTCAACTTTCTCGTTGTTGTAACCGAAAAGTTAATGAGGCCTTGATTTTGAATCATCTTCAACTTTGGGGGAGGCATTTTTTATCACGCGTCATATTTTGCAATTGAAAGAATTTAAATGAAATAATAGCATACATGTTATTTCATATTAACGGCACCTACGTATAATCCAATCAAAAATAACAACAGATACTTTTGATAATTATTTTACAGATGCTTTACAGTACTAATTTACTGACAGTTTCCATAGGATGGTCTGTTACGTAACTAGATGCAAAATCAGCGTCACTAAATTTATGTTGGTTGAAGGGAAATATGCCAGTTTTTTCAAATCCACTCATTATGTTACTCGGTGTCAAAGCTAAAGGCAAAGAAGTGCGGACGATTCCAGGAATATCGTATATGGTCATGGTTTTTCCAGCGTTATTCCGCATCCAAGCATCTTGAGTTGAAAACAGATATCTTTTAAAAGGGCCATATACCGCCACGTCAAGTGGCTGTAATTTGTGAGAACAGTGAGGAGGGAAAGAGAGCATGACCACTCCATTTTCTTTAGCTAAATCTAGTGTTGGTACAGATAAGTGCGAAGAATGGTTGTCTAAAACCAACAGAGCAGGAAATTCTTTAGAAGGTCTAACGTGCTTGATAAAATGCTGCATAATGAGTGATCCAACCGCTAGAATTCCCAGCACCAATGCAATCAGTAGGACCATCCCGAATGAAATGGTTTTGAAATTTTTTGCGAGGGAAGATGAACATTGGTGGAACTGATGAACCTGTAGCTGAAACCGCTACTAACAGGGTTACATTAGTTCCACGTTCACCGGATGTTATTGATCCAACATTTCGCTTTCCTTTAGCAGCAACTATTTTTGATGGTTTGGTGACGGTGAATACACCAGTTTCAGCCGCATTCCAAATGGAAGAAGCTGTAAATTTAAATCGGTCCACTACGTCATCTAATTTAGTGTAAAACTCTTGCACATTAGACTTATTGAAAGACGTAGCTCTGCTGAGACTAGTCGCTTCAGGTTTTCTTATTGAGAGACTTGAATTACGTTTGAGAAAGGCAGACATCCAATCTTTAGCGACCATTTTATTTGTATGCCATGTTTTCGGTATATTTATTTTATATTTAATGGCACAGTCATAAGCCATGCGACGTACTTCTTTAGGACCTATGCCGTGGAAAATTTGTGCAAGTTTGAGCAAGTATTCTGTGAGACTGGTTTCTTGTTCTTTATTAAATATCTGCCTTGGAGAACCATAGCCAAATTTCAAATTATCAGGGTCATTCTTCATTCGTTTAATAAATCTTGACAATAAAGTTTACTTAATTCAAAGTCACGACATACCTGCCTCAATGATTTATTTTCATTGATAACTAAATCTGCTGCACGTTGCATCAACTCAACAGATTTAGTACCACGATCGGATTTTCTCTTATAATTAACGCGCGCATACTGAAACAAAAAAGTCTCTATTAACCAACATATTATTGAGGGGCTAAAAGGTCCACATTGGACCTTTTTACCCCAACCAAGTGTAAATAGTTTTAGAGGTTATAACGAAATTACTTTTGAACCTAGCCTAAAACTAATAATAAATCGTGAAAAAACAAATCAAGTATACTGATAAACTATGTTTAGGTATGATAAACGAAAAACAACTGCTCGAAACTAAAAAGAATAATGATGAAAAAATTTACTTACGTTAAAATTTTTAGACGTAGTCGTATATCTCCGGCTAGCGACGTTGCTCGACTGTCGGCGATGCCTCGTTACGCCTCCCGCGCCCCCTTCATTCCGCGTACGTAGTTAGAACGAACGATATACCACTAGTTTTTTAGATACTTATGGTGGACCTTTATACCCGCGGACCTTTAAGCCCTGCCCTACCCTACATTACTCGCGGATTGTTTAATAGCATGGATATATAAAGTATCCATAATATATAAACAATAAAGAAAACGATAAATAATAAATATTTTACAAGCAAAATACGTCAAAATTTTTAAAAAGTTGATATTCCATGCGTAAAACTTAAGAAATTTCAAACTATTCAGAACTTTTGAAATGATGAAATGAACGCTACATGAACAGAATTATACTTCTGCAATGTAATAAACTATATTCTTTCAAAAACAAAACTAATTTATGCGTGTTTTATTAACATATTTTAATGTTCCCGGAAAAGACCAACCGTTCCCGGAATGACATAAATGTTAACGAAATGATGATATGGATATCATAAGGTAAAGGTAAGGCAAAATTTCAATTATAAACAACGGTTTAATCGACAAAGTTATTTATTTGTATTGTCATAAATTAATATGACATTTAATAAAAAATACTCTTCCTAAGAATATTTTTTACGTTATGTATTAAGTTTTAACATTTACATAAATCAGTCTAGTGGAACTTCTGTAATCACAGTTATATCTTTTTAAAGTTTTAATCAGTTCTTACAATATGAGTCTTTGGACCTAAAATCATAGTCTACTTCACTATTCTTCTAGAAATAATGGAAAAAATATAAGTAACGTAAGAAAATCAACAATAAATTCTGTAACAATAAATGACAAGTTAACTAAAAATATATAAGTACAAAACAAAATTAATTATTTTTCGAAAACATCTATATCTTTATCAAAATAATAATAACCTTGATTTCTTTCTTTTTTATTTGCTCAAAATAAATGTACAACACATCCTTCGGTTTAGTTTAAATTTTCTATTATTGTTACGCACAGATCTCAGAAAGGTTACTAAAATTTCCCCACCATCGTCATCGACACTTGTCTGATAGGTAGCAACATATCTGAAGCAAACATTTGGCTTTGCAGTAGGAACTTTAACAAGCAAGAATGTCCCAGCAGATATGAGATTTGGGTGTATATTTTCTTTGCCAGATATATT